TGAAGGCACAGTGGCTGTTGCCCCCAGCTAGAGGAGAAGAGTTCAGCCTCTTCTGATGTGGAGGAGGGATTCAGGGACAGCAGGACTGATGTGAGTGACCAGAACTCAGTCCTCTGGATATCTCCCACCTAGGGCAGTGCGGCCAAGGGTGCTTTCTACTTCTCACCACCAAATAAACCACTTTTCTCTTTTCCTGCTTTACTTCACTTATTTCTGAAGTCGTGGAATACCAGCAGTACAGGTAAATTCATATATACGTCTGCTACTTTGGAATGGGCTTCTAACCTTTTTCAACCAAGGTAAATTAGGACACAGGCTGGGCGAGGCTTATAGGGCTCTTGAGAAAGGGTTTCCTGTGGCAAGGGAAATTCTGATGAACCCCTGTGGCCTTGAGTCCTGAAGAAGCCCAAGAAAATCTTTTTTTTTTTAAATAAGGGGCTATAGCCATAATGCAGTTGTTGTTTTTTCCTTGAACCCCTCTGAAATTCCCTCAAGTTGTTTTGGTAGGAGAGTGGTGACCAGGATTTAGGTTTCATAAGTTTAGCATGGGGCAGGAGTTCTGAAGAAACAGAGGGAAGATGTATAGATTGTGGTTTGAAATTTTCTTAGAACCTTCTGCAGGGCCCTTTCTGCTTGGTATTATTATATCTCTTTACTGTTCCTTGAAGGCATGAACCTTTAATGTATGCTATTTAATGTTTTTGTTATCGACTTGGATAAGGCTGAGCTGGCAGGTTCATCGCCTTTGCAGACACTGGATGGCACACACCCAGTGGAAAGATCTTGACCTGCTGGAGCAGGGGGCTGCATGTAAATTGAAATTCACTAGTGATACATGTAAAGGTCACTTGGGTTCCAAAGGTCATTTTCAAGTTTCCTAAATAAATTGGGGATTTTAGAAACAACCAACTCAATACAAAGCAGCACTGTTTTCGCATGTCGTGTGGCGCACGCCCCCCCCCCGGGGGGGCAGCAGCGTGATCCTAGGCTCCATTAAGAGAGGTATGGCTTTTGAAAATAAGTCCCTCCAGTCTAGGCAGACCACGTCTGGAGACCACAGGTTAAGAACACTGAAGATCCAAAGAGAATAACTGCAGGCCTTGCGTCCATGTCACCTTATAAGCTGTTTAACAGATGTTTGCAAAAAGAACTGGCACTGCTGAGTCTGGAAGAGAAAAGCCTGGGGGCCACGTCTAGTTGTCTACAGGTCTCTGAAGGGCCCCTCCGTAAAAGAAGGTAGACCCAAAAACAGCAGGTAGAAGTTGCCAGGAGGCAAATGTAAGTTTCACATCAGGAAAACCAGGATTCCCCACAATTTGCACTGTCTCAACATAGAACAGCCACCTCCTGCTCCTCCAAGGGGGTCTTCTAGCCAAGGCGAAATGACCACCTCTTTTGGATCTTGTGGAGGGCAATCTTTTAGTTCTCCTCACTTTCAGATCTTGTGTTTTTCGTATTCCCCATTCATTCTACAAATAGCCTCTGAGGTACTGGGTCTAGGGATACAGACAAAAGTCAGAGTCCTTGCCTTCCAGGAGCAACCCAAACTCACCTAAATCTAATTTCCGGGGGGGGGTGCAGGGAAAGAGGGGGAGAGGCTGGACTCCAGATGGTCCTCAAAGAACGCTAAGGTTTCTAAGGTGGGTGTGAGGAGGGAGTACATTCCAAGGATCACAGGAGCTTGGATGATGCATACAGGGAACATCAGAGCAGAAATGAAAAACTAGGATGCTGGAATGTGTGAATAGAATTCTGTGCAATGAACGTACGTAAAATGGGCTGGAGTCAGTCGGGAAGGGCTTTTAATGCCCAGCGTTTTCCAAGAGGCAATAAATACAGAGCATGTTGAGCAAGGGCATGACATCAGCAGACCTGTCCTTGTAGAAGATGGATTGAAGAGGTGATACACCACCCAAAACAGCCCCTGAATGGCAAGAAGAGTTCAATCTCTTCCTCTAAGCTTGGAGGGAAAGGGGAAGCAATGGCTGCTGATTCCCATGCTTGTCTCTCCCAAATTTGCTGGGTGACATAAGCCCTTTAACCAAGACAGTCTAGGGACAGGCTGAAGCAAGCCTAGCACTTGTAGCTGGAAGTGACCTAAGAGGGCAGAAGGAGAAACTGAGGCAGAAAAATGGTTCGGATTACTTCTGCTGTTTGCTACCAACTACAGCCTTTAAACCAGGAAGTGATTTCTTATTTTGTTGGTTTCTAGACTTAATAAAGTGATAGGAGAAAATGCTAATGATGCAGATTAAACTTTTAAAATACTGTTTTTTAGTCCTAAATTTCTTCCGGCCCCTCCCCCACCCATCGAGAAGGCAAGCGGTAGAATTCCTATTATACATGTGAAGTCATGCAAAATACTGCTCTGCTAGTTAACGTTTAAAGCAGATTAAACTTCAAAGTGTCGTGCGTACATTGCCGCCTCCCCCACCGCAGAAAAGATGTTCTAAGAGCTTGCCTTGGCATTTTGTCATCCTGAAGCGTGCCCGCCTTTCTCCGCATGCGCTTTCGTCGGTTTACCCTGCGATCTGGGACACGCGCCTGCTTCTTACTGTAGTAGGACTATGAATACTACACGTCCCAGCGTGCTTTGCGCCCCGGAAGGCTATCTGACTTCACGTCCGTTCAGGTGGCTGACTTCTCAGTTCCGGAGCCGGTCTGGCGGGTCAGAGGTGAGCGGAGCCAGGCCGGGATTGGTCGGGGTGGCACGGGCTCGGGAGTCGAGGGAGGACCAGGCCGGGGCTAGGGTCGGAGCTGCTCGCGTCGGATCGCGAAGTCGCGGGAGCCCCCGAGGAGCGCGGGCGGCTTTGCGCGGACCCTGCCCTCCGGAACGGCCTCCCGCTCTCCCCGGGCGCGGCTAGGCCCGGAGCTCCCTCCCTGGCGCTCAGCGGGGTGCCCGGCACGCGGGAAGCGCGCCCTTCCCCGGTACTCGGGGCCTGGGCCGCGTGGGTCGGACTCGCCCGGTCCGCCCCTTCTCTGATCCTGAGCCTGCGGGCCGGAGAGACGGGCGGGCAGGCCCTGGGGGCCTCACTGATAAAGGGAGCGCCCAAGGGCCGGCTTGGACGAAGCCCTTGCCAGGCCTGGTGCATTGTTTAGGGAACGTTTTTACTGAATGGAATGCTGGACTTGGAGCCGGGAATTCCGGGGTTCAGGTCCAGCTCTTGAGACTTACTATAGCGGGGGCTGTTTGCCAAGTCACAACCTATCAGTTTTCTCATCTGTAAGATGGGGTAATAAACTCATTGAGTTGTGAAGCTCAAATGACATGATGTGTGTAAAGCATTTTGAAAAACAGAGAGTGTGTGTGTGTGTGTGTGTGTGTGTGTGTGTGTATCCATTTAGGTTGGACTGGGTGGCAGAGTGAGAAAAGGTTTTCATATGTGTGGCCCTGGAGGGCAGACATAAAAGCTGAGGGTGTCATAATTGTCGAGAGATTTAGGTTGTATATGTGAACAAATTTCCTGACAGTTAACGCTATCCAAAAATGGAATGAGTTGTCCCAAAAGATAGTGAACTCCCCATCCCTGGACATCTTCAAATGCAGTCCCGATGACCACTTACCCAGAGATAATTGTAGAGGGAATTCTTGCTGAGTTCCTGAGACTAGACCCCTGAGAGCCAATTTCCAATTCTGAGGTTCTGTGTGGAACCTTTGGTAAATCACTAAAATCTGTGGGTTTCGTAAAACAAGGTTTAGGTTCTATGAACTTTTAAAAACTATTTTTTTCATTAAATATTTCTCAATTATGTGTTAAAATTTTGTCATTTTAAAAATTTTGAGTTCCAAATTCTCTCCCTCTTCCACACCTACTCCCTCCTTGAGAAGGTAAATAATTTATATCAGTTATACACATGAAGGCAATGCAAAACATGTTTCCATGTTAGCCGTGTTGCCAAAAAAAAAAAGGCAAAAAATAAAACAAGAAAAAAAGATTTTTTAAAAAGTATGCTTTAATCAGCACTTAGAATTCCTCATTTCTGTCTCTGGAGATGGATAACATTTTTCATCATGGGTCCTTTGGAACTGATCTGGATCACTGTTTATGAGAGTAGCTAAGTCTTTCATAGACTTGATCATCCTTAAGATATTGCTGTTACTATGTACAGTATTCTGGTTCTTCTCCCTTCACTTTTCATCAGTTCACATAAGTCTTCCCAGGTTTTTCTGAAACCATTCTGCCCATCATTTCTTAGAGCGCAACAGTATTCCATCACAATCATATACCACAACTTGGTTGGCCATCCCTCAACTGATGGGCATCCCCTCAGTTTCCAATTCATTGCCACCACGAAAAGAGCTGCTATAAATACCTTGTACAAATAGGTCCTTTTTCTTTGCTCTCTGGCATACAGTGATTTTGGTGAAAGAGTATGCACAGTTTTATAGCTTTGGGCAGTTAGATGAACTCTTAAAGTCTCATCCAGCAATAAATTCCCAATCTCTAAAAGAGAAGAATACGTAAGTGAAATTAAGTAATAATTGTTATTAGCTAAGCAGTTCATCTTAAACTTCATTTCTTTCCCAAACAACTAAGTTCACAAAAAGTGCTTATAAAGTAGTGGAGGTTGAGGGAGAAGAACATGTTGAGGCCAGTATTCAAAGTCTAAGAAGAATGGTAAACTCCAGAATTCTATATTTGTTTCTCCCCCCGCCCAGACAGTCGGGGTTAAGTGACTTGCCCAGGGTCACACAGCTAATGAGGCCAGATTTGAACTCAGGTCTTCCTGACTTCAGGGCCAGTGCTCTATCCACTGCACCACCTAGCTGCCGCCAATTCTAGAATTTTTAATCTGGTATTGTTTTGAAACTGTTGAGTTGGTATATTGGGAGATGTTATATCTAGAGCAGGAGTGTGGAACCTTCGACTTCAAAGCCACATGTGGCCCTCTAGGTCCTGAAGTGCAGCCCTTTGACTGAATACAGACTTCACAGAACAAATCCCCTTCATAAAAGGATTTGTTCTGTAAAACTAGGACTCGGTGAAAAGGCCACACCCGAGGACCTAGAAGGCTACATGTGGCCTACAGAGTGAAGGTTCCCCACTCTTGGTCTAGACCATCTCCACTTTAGCCTTTATCCCAGTTGTACCTTGTAGCATGCTTGTATACATGCCTTGTACCCCCATTACATTGCAAGCTCCTTAAGGGTAGAGATTGCATTGTTTTTCATCTTTACCTAGTCTCTAACACAGTTGCCCCCCATTAGAGAGGCTTGATCACTCAATCAAACATTTATTATGCACCTAAGCAACAGAGATACAAAAAGAGGCAAAAGACAGTCTCTTCCCTCAGAGAGCTTACAGTCTCATGGGGGAGGCAAGATGCACACAAGTATCTACAAAGGGAGCAATATGCAGGGAAGTAAGGGGAGGCACTAGAATTAAGAGGGTTAGGGAAGGCTTCCTGTCGAAGTGAGATTGTAGCTGGGATTGTGCAAATTTTGGTTTGGATCTGAAAGTGCTTTCATTGGGATGTAGAGATTAACAGGCAGTTTTCCTCCGTCCATGCAAATCAGTGACTCCTCAGAAATTTAGAGTCTTTAAAAGAGTTGCTTGAAACACCGAAAGATTCAGTAATAGCCCTGGTTACCCAGATTGTCTTGTCTTTCATCTTGATTCCTATACTGTAAGTGGTAGGCAGTGTTTACTTAATTGAATTGAGTGGTATTCACAAAGATGCCTACTGTGCTCCGGGACTCCAGAAATAGAAACCTGGAGGACATAATGTATGGTTCTTTGGAATGAAGCACATTGCCCTTTCCAGTCAATAGGCAGTTAATTAACTGAAGTTTAGTTTTCTGAATCCAATTCCAGGGAGACTCGTATGCTATATCCAGGGACACAGCTCTTAGATGCTACATCCTGTGATTTTCTGACAGGTCGATACATTGCTTCCCGTCATAACTAGTTAGGATGTGTAGAGCTATAGTTAATTGGTGAAGTTGCTAGTTTTGGCCTCCCCCACTTCTACCCTTTGCTTCAAAAAACTCAGGAGACGCCAGTTTTGAAAAATAACATCCTTAACCTATCAGTGAAATAGTGCTTTAAAGTGTACAAAGCACTTTACCTATATTGTCTCATCTGAGCCATACAACAGCCCTGTGAGGTAGATGGTTACTCATTTGTTGCCAATACTGAAGAAAAGGGGGAGAGGTCACAATCTCATCTGTAAAATGAGGGTAGTATTTGATATATTATCTGATCTCTATCTTATGGGGAAAGTAATTTGTAAACTGATAACTGATACAAATGTGAGTTTGTGAACAAGGTACAATAGTTTAAATCAGCAGGTCCTGCTCATGAGACGATGTGATTTTTGCCATCTGTGACATTTCTTTAAGTGTTATCTGCCCATAGGAATACCAGGTTTGTGGAATGATGGTGTCAAGCTCAAATAGAAAGCCACTAAACCATACATGAGGATCCACTGAGCTGTATATTGACTTTGAATGCCACATATTTACAGAATCTATGTTGTATTGTATTTTTATTTATTTTGTTAACTATTTCCCAATTACATTTTAATCTGATTTGTCTGCAGTATCGTGGGAGCTTTGTGTTTGAAAGATCCATACATGTAGGTACAGTGTGATAGAAAAGGAAGCCTGTTTTGGTTGGAGCTGACTGCACAAATTTCTGCTGAAAGTGTCTAGGTATTTGTCCTTACTCCTTTTCTTCTCTGCTTTCCATTTTCCAGGGTAATCAGTCAGATCTTATCCAGGTTGGTGTAGGGGCTTCTGCTCAGGTCATGTGGGCTGCAGATGAAATCGCCCGTCTGTGCTACACTCACTATGGCACTAGGCTGCCCAAGCAGGGGAAGCCTGAGCCAGACCGAGAGTGGACCTTGCTGGCAGCTGTGGTTAAGGTGAATTCTGCAGCAGAAGGCTCTCATGACCCCCGTGACAAATCCTTACCAGGTGGAACTTTTCTCTTCTTCCACAACACCTAATAAGCCATCAACAAGCTTTTATGAAGGATGTAGCTGTGTGCCAGAGTTAAAAGTGAGGCAGCCCCTGCCCTCAAAGAGCTCACTTCCGTTCCCCTAGGAGAACCCAGTGTTACTAACGAGTAAATACAGGATCAGTTCTGACAGTGCTTGAAATTGCAGCTGTATGAGAATGCCAGGGTGAAGTAGTCTTATAAACAAAATTATCATGTGGTATGTAATCCCCAAATATTTGTCCCCTCATCGGACTTGAGGAGGCAGGGTGGGACGCTAGAATGAATCCTGGAAAGATTAGGAGATCTGGGTTCTGGATGTTTGTCTGTGGGCAAGTACTTAACTTTCTGGGGCCTTAGATTCTCCATCTGCAAAATGAAGGGGTTGGAGTAGGGCAGGGGTAGGCAATCTTTGACTGAATCTAAACTTCGTGAAGTCAAAGGGCCACACTTGAGGACCTAGAGGGCCACGTGTGGCCTTGAGGCTGAAGGTTCCCCACCCCTGGAGTAAGAGATTATTTACTAAGGCCTTCCAGCTCCAGGATTCTGTAAGTCTCACAATGTTCTGGGATAAGTGAAAACCCCCTCACCTTTCCTAGGACCACAGTGGTTGGTTTGTACCAGATGTGCCGTTAATTACAGGAATCTTTTCACAGCAATAGGCTGCTAAGTGACCTGACTCATTAAACTTGGGGAACATTTAGATAATAGGAACTCATTTGATAATTTGTTTTTCCCAGTAACTAAGGAAGTTGTCTCCATGGGAACAGGAACGAAATGCATTGGCCTGTCCAAAATGAGAAAAAGTGGTAAGCAGGGGTGGGAGCTGTAGATTCTGACACCTTTGGAACTAGTGTCCATGCTGAGCTTTCTTCCTTTTGTGTTCCTAGCAAGCGATGTGGCCATTGCCAGCTGAAGTTATCGGGGCATCCAGTTCTTAATGATTGTTTAAGCACAAGAAGGGGTGAAAAGCCACTTAGTGAAAAAAAGTTAATTTCAGAAGGGGGGTGGTTTAGACAGATAATCCCCATCGAATATTTCCATGTTTATGCCAGAGATTCCTCTCATCAATTTTGCATTGTGTCTGGCAATCTCTAGAACAGAATGAGGAAAAGGCAGCTTCATAGCATTTTTGTGCTTCTCTGTTTCAAGGCAAACTGCCAGAATTCAGACACGGGCTGGGGGAGCATCATTGGGAAATTTCCACGGGCGTTTCAGCTGTTAAGTTGTCTGTAACCTCAGTTCTTTTAAGCCTGTGCCCCTGAGGCTCTCACTGTCACACGCGGAGCAGCGAGCATCAGGGCCGTTCTAGGCTATAGTGATTGGAAGAAAGCTGTTTTTCCTGCTAGGACAGCGGGCACCCCAGAGGCAGTGCTCAGCCACGGGTATGTTAGGTTGCCGAAGAAAGCCTTACTCCTCTGTGTCAACAGCTCTCATTGCAGGTAGGAAAGCGTTCTTGGTCCCTAGACACGAGCTTATTGTAAGAAAAAGAGTCATCTGATATGCTACAGATCAGAGGCTGAGCCCTCTAGGTTAAAGGTTTGCTGTAATGTAGCATTCTGAGTGGTTGTAAAGCATTAATAAAGTTAGCATGGTTCGTCCAAAGTGGTAGGGGAAGAATCTTTCTGTTTCTGGGAATAAAGGCAGAAAAGTCAGGTGGCACTTGGAGGTGTGGGGGAACCCTCCTCAAGTGCTGTATAATTTCACAGGGTTTCTTATTTTTGCCACAGGAGACATCCTTAATGACAGTCATGCTGAGGTCATAGCCAAGAGAAGTTTCCAGAGGTGAAGTATTAGAAATTCTCTTTAAACGATTTTAATGCTTTCTACCACATTCCTTATACCTAAAAAAAGGGGTTTTTAAAAATTTTTAATTTATTTTGAGTTATCAACAGTCACTTCCATAAACTTTTGAGTTTTAAATTTTTCTCCCCTTCCCTCCCCACCACCCTTCCCAACATGGTGTGCAATCTGATATAGGCTATACATTGTTGTAGGTAAGAATTAGAACCAATAGGAGGAACCATCAGAAAGAGGAAACAAAACACCTAAAAAAGTTTTAAGGACATTCTTGCTCAGCAAACTTGGCAGTGGAATGGGCTTTCCCTTACCACTGACTGGGAGTTCTTAAGAATAGTACATGGGGGGGAAAAAAATTAAAAAAAAAAAGAATAGTACCTGGGGTCCATGGGCCCCCAAAGGGTCAGTAAATAGATTTCTGGGGATCTGTGAACTTGGACGGGAAAAAGATTACTTCTTTATTTTCATCAGCCTTTAACTGAAATTTAGCATTTCCTACAATTACAAAATTTTTTAAGAAACTTGATTCTGAGAAGGGGTCCATAATATTTGCCATACTGACCAAGGGGTCTATGATACACACAAAAACATTAAGAATCCCTGCCCTAAATCAGGCTTCTGCTTAGAATTATAGCCCCTCGAGGCAGCTAGGTGGTATAGTGGGTAGAGCTCCAGCCCTGGAGTGAGGAGGACCTGAGTTTAAATCTGGCCTCAGACACTTTCTAGCTGCGTGACCCCAGTCAAGTCATTTCACTCTGATTGCTATCACCCCCCCCCTTTCTCTTTCCTCTCTAGATACAATAACAATGATTGCTTTAACAGATGATGCTGATTCCCATGCTCTCTGGGAACTCCATTGTTCCTTTGCCTCTGCGCTGTATGTACATTTTCTGGTCTAATTTAGATACTTTTAATCCCCCCCTTATAAGAAGTAAGTAGCTTGAGAACAGGGATCATTTTTTACTTTTTGCAAGTTGTAAGCGCTTAATAAAAGCTTATTCGTTGATTCCTACCTACTAGGTAGATTTTTAAAAATAACTTCTGCAGCAACCAAGCCATCCTCGTTCACTGAGGCATCACCTGGTCAAATAATATTGGTTGGTGCACTGTTCTGTTTCACATGTTCACAGCACTGTTAGCTTAAGCGAAGTCAGGAATCCTTTGGCACGGGGCCCTGATTTAACTCAGAGTTTCCATTAGCATGTTACAGCTGTCCAGCATAAAAAGCTAAGTTAGGCCAGGCTCTGCACAAAGAGAGACTGCCCAGTAATTGCCCTGGTGCCACCGATAATGGTGGTTATGCAGTGAGGACCAGTATCCTAAAAGAAATCAATCACCTTGACTCTTGTTTGTTTGCTTGCTTGTTTTTAGTTTAACATTCACTTCCACCAGATTTTGAGTTGCGTATTTTCTCCCCATCTCATCCCCACCCCCAGCCCAAGATGGCGTGCATTCTGAATACCCTTCCCTTAATTTGCCCTCCCTTCTATCACCCCCCATCCCCTTCCCTTTCAGTTTTCCTGTAGGGCAGGATAGATTTCTATACCCCATTTCCTATATATTTTATTTCCCAGTTGCATGTGAAAACATTTTTTTCTAACATTTTTTTTTCAAATCACCTTGACTCTTGAGGTGGGAAAGGTTTGGAGATAAAAGGGCATGCATTGTCCTTCTGTACCTGACCACTGTTCTGAGCTCAGTACTTCTGGGTAGCAGCTCCTTCCCAAGGGAGTGCCCAGCCACATTCTTCCAAACCGTGGCGATTCCAGTTGCCAGTCACTCATTTATGCTAATGCTCGTTACCCTGCAGGTACCTGTTCCATCAGCTCAGGACTGCAGTCAGCTTGCAACAGGACAGCATCTTTATGCCGGGAACCAAGACAGGGATGTGGAAGCTCAAACCGGACTTGCATTTTGTGTTTTTTTCTAGCCACACTCCATGTGAGTATAATTGAGCCTTTGGGTTTATGATAGTCCCCATTTTCTTGCCTTAGCAATGTGAACACTTTTCCATTGATTTCTGAGTTAATAAAAGCTACAGTGTTACTATGCCTTTACAGTGTCCATAAGCCAGTGTCTCTCCATTGATCTTCTCACCAAGGTGGTTGTGTGTGTCTGATATCAGCATTCTTATTAAAGTGTGTTTATCGAGGCGGGCTTGTTGGTACCTTAACAGGATTACGGAAAGATAAAACCATCAGAAGATTCAGAAAGAAAATAGTCATTTCCCTAAGGAAGAAAGTCATCAAGAACAAAACCCCTTTTAATACTAGCTCTATGGTTACACAAGTCTTTAGATTCGTCCTCTTATTTGTTGTCACAAGTAGAACGATCAGAAGGGGAAACTGAGCCTCCCAAAGCGAAGGACTTGCTCTTGTTCATAGAGCTGATTCAAGTATTTCAAGCTGGGACGTGAACCCAGGTCTTCCGAATCAAAGTCAGATGTACTTTTCCACCACAGTATTCTTACAGTGGCCTGAACCGTGGCCATGATAAGAGAGAATCCTATAAGCAGAAAATTCTCAAGCTCTGGTCTAGTGGATGACTGACCATTATGTGTGGCAAAGAAATGCAACACAAAGAAAACTGTATTTGGAACCAGAAGGCTTTGTCAGATGCCCACGCCCCACTTGTGTTTGACCCTGGGCAAGTCACATTCCCTCTACAAGAGTTAGTGCCTTCACATGGACTGTTCTTTCACAGTCTCCCTTAGGGGGCTGCTGTGAGGATGAAATAAAAGAAAAACAAGTAAAGCACTTTGTAAAGGAGGCAGGGCTAGGTGACTGTCAGCTAAGCTGCCAGATTTGTTATTTCAAGCAGTGTTTGATATGGCCAAAGACCGGGAAAAAGGAAGTCTGTTCTGATGACATTTTGCCTATCCATATGACCTATACTCTTTGTAGCTCCCTGAGGCATATACTGAAGGGACAGTGTAACTGAGGGCAGATTGAAGCTAGTCAGTAGGGAACAGACTTTCCAGTCTAGCATTGGATTTTCTTCATCTGGAGTAGAGACAACATTACATGTTAAGGATCACTTGGGCAACACCTTTGGAGAGGTAGGAGATCTGCAGGTATGACTGAGACACTGCATATGTTTTCAAACTTGTTCAACATAGGGTTTGGTTCTCTTTTTTTTCTTTAAAAAATATTCTTGGGGCAGCTAGGTGGTGCAGTGGATAGAGCACCGACCCTGGAGTCAGGAGGACCTGAGTTCAAATGGGGTCTTAGACTAGACAATTGACCTTTGACACTTACTAGCTGTGTGACCCTGGGCAAGTCACTTAACCCTAATTACCTCACCCAAAAAATTATTTTCAAATCGCTTTCAGGGAGGAGAAGGGATACTGGGAGAAATTTAAGCAATGTAAAAACAAAAGCTCTCCATAACAGTAGTTTAATAAAACCGTCACATGAGTGGGAAGGCCCACTGAGTATGGATTGAGGGTTCAGGTGTGACATTGTGAGCCAGAATGTCCATTTAAATCCTGACAGCATGAGGCATGGGGAGTCAGGATATATGGATTTCTAATGTAGTGACTTTTCACCTGAAACATACTTGTTCTCTGCCTTAGCTGTTATATCTGAAACAAAAAAAGTAATTCCTCTCTCTTGCCAAGCTCAGGATTGGAAGTTTGTGAACTCATTTCAGGTTTCTTTAGGAAGGCAGTATAGAAATACACATTGGTATTTAAAGAGGTTATCTTGTTCACAGTTGGTTATCATCATTCTTTACTGAGCTTTGGTTTTCTTGGCATAATTTCTGGGACTATAAAGTGGCCGGAATGTCACTAATCTCCTCTCAGGTAGTAGGGTCTTTGTCTTAGGGAATATTTTCTCTTGCAGGTGGGGATGCCTCCATCATCCCAGTGCTGGAGCTTGAAGATCAGCCTTGCTCTCCAGTCGGCCAGTCAGCAGAGGCCATTAGTGACCCTGTGGTACTAGAAAATAAAAGGAAATGTGAAGAAATCCCTGCCCACCCTATAACTAAGAGGATGAGGACAGAGCCCAGGGACCTTCCCAGGGAGATCCCCAGTGATACAGCCATGCATTACTCTACTGGGAAAGAAGGAAGCTTACAAATACCCCCAGATTCCAGCAATTCCAGCCCTCCAGCAAATGGACCAGCAGCTACTCAGGGGACTGTCCCAGTTGGTGCTAAAGTAGTGGATATTTATAGAACTGGAGCAAAATGTGTGCCAGGGGGAGCCGGAGATGCTCAGAAGCCTGGTGTCGAATATCACCAGGTGGGATTACTCCGAGTGAAGCCAGGCCGAGGAGACCGGACCTGCTCTATGTCCTGTAGTGATAAGCTAGCGAGATGGAACGTGCTTGGGTGCCAGGGTGCCCTGCTGATGCACTTCCTAGAGGAGCCCATCTACCTAGCAGCTCTGGTTGTCGGAAAATGCCCGTACAGTCCTGAGGCCATGAAGAGAGCCGTGATTGGCAGGTGAGAGAATGAGTGCCCAGTGCCGTCCTGAAGCTTTACCCGCCCTGGGCAGTGGCAGCCCGAGGACAGCGTCCACGTGGGGGCTTACCTTCCTATACCACTTTTCAGTTACACGCACTTGACTTTCTCTTATTTGATCCTTGCCACAAACCTGTGAAGCAGGTAGTGTCCGTGTTATTATCTCTTGGTACAGAAGTTCACCCCAGATCATCCATCTAGTCAATGATAGAGCTAAGACCCAAACCCATGAACTCACAATCCATCGGTCTTTCTTCTGTACCATGCTGTCTCAGGTGGCAAGCTCAGGTCACCTCCTCCCTGGGAGAGGGTGAGGACATCACAGCTCACCTCTGTATGGGGCTGTTTCCATGGCACTGCCACAGAATCCCCGGGTGTGCTGGGTGGAAGGGGGGGTGCTTTAACCTCCATAAGTGTAAATTAGTTCTGAGGGTCTGTGATTGTATTTGTATTTGTCACCATCATTCTCTCTGGGGCGTAGTTAGAGGGAAGACCCAAGAAAAAGTGAAACTGTACTTTGTGTAGGAGGCCGTCCTTTGATTCTGACCTTTACCTGGGCATGTTTTATATGTGTAAGTCCACCCAGAGTCCCAGGGGAGCCTTTCTCCCTGCAGCTATGACTTTCAGATTGATTAGGTTAAACTAGGGAATCTCACTTTAAAAAAAAAACCCCACATCCCTAACAAAACACCTCACTGCTGCCTCCCCAAGGTGGGGGCAGGGAGGCACCAAAGTGTTGGTTTCCTCAGCCTGGAATGAATGTGGCTGATCCTGTAGACATACCTTAAGGAATTGGCCTTTAGGTTTTGGTCATTGGGAAGTCTGGGGCGAAGGATGGTGGGAGAAAGGGAGTGAATGTCAGAGCACCATTCTAAATGATGAGTTTTTCCCCCCATAACTAGGTGTCAGCATGTGTCCAGTTTGCCCAGAGGCTTCCAAGTGCAAGAGCTGAAAATGCTTCAGTCAAATCTGCTGTTTGAACACAGCCGCTGTGCAGTTCAGGCAAAGAGAGCTAACTGCCCAGGGAAAGTTGTTCCTTGTGGGGCTGGTGAGTGACCTGGCCTTCTCCCATCAATACTCTGGAGCACCTTGATATCCAGTTTTCAGAATGAGGAATTTACGCAGGAGTGACCTCCTCCAAGATTTCCCCATCCAGTCTATCTAATACCCTGTGGCACAAGGGGAACCGTTATTCTCACCAAAAATCGTATCTTCACCAATTAGCAGCATTTTTAGACCAGAATTCTAAGAAGTGATCATACACGTATTCTTCAGTGTGATCTCGTTACATTCTTGGCTATGTTCAAGATTCTGTGTTGGGTTTTCTGGGTGTACTTATTGCACCGATACATGTTGCTGTCCTGCTGCAGCCAGAAAACCCATCCACGCTCAGGACGGGGACGAGCCCTTCCCAACGTAGCTGGTCTCCCTTTGTGGCCGGAGAGGGCCTGCCAGAGCTTGTGCTCTGCTGATAGAACCTTCAGCAGCTGGCTCGGAGTGGGACAGGAGTGGAGGAGAGTGCCCGGATCACCTTGTTGGCCCTGCCCATCTCTCCCCCGGCTCAGCATTAATCCGCACACTTATCCACCTTTTCTTTAGTACAGTGCAGCCCTGACCTGGCCATTTGTTTCTTTTCACAGCCATAGGTTGGAGTGCAGTCCCAGAACAGCCTGTCGATGTGAGCTGCAGTGGTTTCAGGCAAGGAGCTACGAAGAAGAGTGTTGGCAGCCTTCAAGCCAGGTGCACTATCCAGGGCGGTTGGGGAGGAACGCCGTATGTGGGACTCTCGTTTTTACAGGAGCAGAGAAGGGGGACTGGCAGAGGATGAAAGAACAGACTGGTCAGGAAGCATTTGTTGAGTGTTTCTGGAGCCAAGCCCTGGGCTGAGCTTGAAGGATAAAACAGAAGAGCAAGGTTGTCTCTGCTCCAGAGGAGTGAGCGTGGTGATGGGAGAGCCTAGGGGGGAGGGCCGGTTTCCTGCTGACCAAGGGCCTGCTGGCTGTTGGGTGTTGTGGCAGGGCAGAGAACCAGACACTGCTGCTCAGTGGATCAGAGGAGGGAGGGCAGCCCATAGGTGAGTGAGTCACCCAGGCTTTACCTAGATTTCCATGCTGCTCTAGTGCCCATTGTTAGGGCTTGCTTTACAGAGTCTCTCTATGCCCTTTGCAGCTTCCCTCTTGTTCCTAATTTTGCCCTTCAGGACTATGCAGATACAGCTAATCCCTCACCCACAGAGCCTCCTTTAAAACCTTTAAAAAACAGATAGTGTGTTTTCCTTTTCCACTTCCACTTTTTTTGTTCAGGTGAAACATGCCACAATCTTTTGATCTTTTTCCTCATGATCTTAGGCTCTTCTGCATTCTGGTGGCCATCTTTTGGACGCCCTTCAGCTTACTAGTGTGCTTCCTAAAATGTGCAAGGAAGGACTCCAGATGTGATCTGGACAGGGCAGAGTGAAAAAGGACTCATCACCTCCTTGTCCTGTATACTGTCCTTAAATGTAGTCTAAGATCACATTAGCTTTTTTGGCTCCCCTATCACACTGTTAACTCTAATAAGCTTGTAAATTCACCAAGACCCTCAGATCTTTTTCTGACAAACTGCTCTCTGGCCACATTCCTACATCTTGGACCTGTAAGGTTTCTTTTTCTGAACCTGAGTCTACAATACTAGACATCACTATTAAATTTCATCTTGATTGATACATCCCGAGTTCTAGCCTATGGATTTGGTAACCATTCTGTCTACACGTTTACCAGAGTCCTCGATAAAATACTGCCCAGGGTCAAGCACAAATCCCTGGAGTTCTCCATTAGAGACTTTTTTTTTTCCAAATGGGTGTGAAACAATGACTATTTTTTGGATCTGGTCAGTTAGGTCTGAATCCAACTAACTGTATTGTCTCACTCATTTACTACCATCTTGTCCAGAAAGATAATATGATAAACCTTATTAAATTATTTGCTCAAATCTAATTAAATCATGTTCATCATGTTATCTTGATCTACCACTCCAGTAACACTGTCAAAGAAGAAGATCATCGCCAGTCTGGCCTGACATGTTCATGATCAACTGGGCTGATTCTGGGTGTTCACTGGCCGTTCCTTTAATAATCATTCCAGAATGTGCTAAGAGTCAGAAGGAAGTGCAGTGGCCTCTAGCTGCTGAACTCTACTTTCTTCCCTTTCCTCGGCTCCTCATTTTCCATGGTCTGGGTCTCAGAAGTAGCCACACCCCCTGATTCTTTATGGGATGTTGTTCTTCCAAGCCTGCTGCCAGATCCTCTCTCACTGTCTTACTGTTCCCTTTGGGTCACTTCTGTTCTGCCCTTTCTAAGCCAAAGATCATTTTCCTTGGAAAAGAAAAAAGAAGCAAAGTAACAGTTGAGTATTTCTTCCTTCTCTCCTTTGTGCATTAGCAGTCTCCCCTCTGCAGTGCTTTCTTTGCTCTTCCTCTTTTCCTCATTATAGCTGTAAAAAAGAAAAAAAGCCTTTGGGGTTTTGTTCTTCTCTGTCCCCTGGCATCACCCCATTGAGAGGTTTAGTGTCTAATATTGTTCCCTCAGGACCAGGCCATGTTTTTATGCACTCTCTCTATCCCCTGTCCTTGCTTTCTGCCTCTGCGTGTGTCCTTTTTACAATTTAAATTGGCTGGTGAGTTCCATGGATATCACATCAATCCTTCCTGAGAGTTCTCCTTATCCTCATAACAATTTTTTGTCTTTGTCTTCAGAAATTCTCTCCTGGGGGGACTCGCCTGGAAGATTTTAATCCATGAAGTCCTACGAACCTGTCCTTTCTTTGAACCCCTTGTAATCTGCTCTTCTAAAATCTGAGCTCAAAGCCCAGTTTTTGTCTTTTCTGTTACAGATTCTCAGAGTATTCACACCCTGCACCCAACCCCTACCTTCCAAATCCTTACCATTTTATTTCAGCAGTTGGTGTCTCCTTGTTAGTAAAAGAGCACACCTAGAACGTCTGCTGCTTTTATTAGTACCTCTGCCTTTTGAAAACTGAAATGACTAAGACAAGCCAGCAGATTATTAGCTACTGTGTTAGGCCTCCAGACAACTGAAGTCTTCCATTCTTCCTGTCTCATATCCCTGAGCCAAGCTTACTTCCTCATTCATTCAGACATCTTCCCATACATATGCCCTTAACCAAAGGTTCAGAACCCTTCCAGAGTCACAGTGCAGTCCTGTTCCACCAGATCTCAGCAACACCAACCCAGTATGCCTCCTTACATTAGAATCTCTGGTCACTTGTCATTATGCCCTTGTGTGTAGACATCGGAGGCTGTGGGTTAGGGTTCATTTCTTGGCATTTTGTCTCCTGTGAATTTGGAGGCTTCTCTACTGTTTTTCTTCCTTTATTGTGGCTAATCTTTAGAGGATTTTTCTTCTTTTTTTTCAGTTTAAAACCCTTTTAATGACATTTGCAAGACTCTATGCAAATATATTTTATATTAAGTACACTCCATTCCTGGTCCAAGAACCTGCCATTCCTTTCCAGTGGATGCACAAGGCTTCCAAGGTCTTCAGTTTCTCGCCTGATACTTCATAATCCTTAATGATGATTTCTAGATAACTTCTGACAATATCGTCTGTGCCCAAATGAATCACCTACATGGGTAGTCATAAAAACTGACAGATCTTGGGAGTTTCCCTGTCCCATCCTGGATATCTGCCCTAGGAGGACAACGGATCTTCCTATGCCCTGATCCTCCTTGTTATCAGCTCCAGATGGCTGCCTTCGAAGGGAGTGACCGAGCGGTACAGTTCTTTTCTGTCTCTGGCCCATAAGAATGATCTCTCGCCTGATGGCACCCAAGGATCCACATCTTCCTGCCTTAGAGCACAGGTTCCCAAACTTATTTGGCATACTGCTCCCTTTAAAAAAAAAAAATTAATCAGCGCCCCACTGGAAATCTACTTTCTTCAACCCTTTAATGTTTTTTTTTAAGTTTGCATCATTTCAAAAAAATATAAATTTTTAAAAATGACACATCTTAAATTTAACAATTTATTACAAATTTGTGGGGGGGTCTCCTGCATTGAAATTTTGATGATGCAGTATTGCATCATGTAACTATATAGTATTGTATTGTAAACAAGTCATTCCACCACATATTCCTGCCGGTACATGTTGGACTTCCCACCAGTGCACCACAGGCTCACCTGCCAACACCTGCTTGTTAAGACTTGTCAGCAGACCTGACCACTGATCAATTTTAACTTGCGTTCTGTGTGTTTATTTGGAAAATAATGTAATCATTATGACTTTTACTATCTTTCACAATAGATGAAACCTGTACAAACAGTTTTTCAAAATTTTCTTCTCTTCTTTCCTTATGTTTCCAACACCCCTATTTTTATTCAACACCCCCCCACAGTGCACCCAAGGCTACTACCCCCCCCCATCACTCCAGCACCCTCCAGAGAGCGGTATCGTCCACTTTGGGAACTTATAACTTAAAAGAAGAGGAGCTGCTCCCTCCTCTGCCATAGCAGCAGGTTTATATCTGTTATTTAGCTACAAGTGCTCAGTTGTCCTTTTTCCCTTTCTCCCATGTACCATGTGCTTTCACTCTCTGATCTTTTGGTGCAGGTCAGGAGTCCTCTCTGCCTCTTCAGCTCCTTTTTCTTCATTTTTATATACAAGTCTTTCTTTCTTTCCTGATAATATGAAGAATGGAAGGCATTCTTTGAGGCCCTTTCTCTTCTAGAAGAGAGGCCAGCCTGCTCTTGGGCAGGGATAACAGTTTTTGAGTGTGGCAGAAAGACAAACTGCCATCTTCTGTGTGGGTCACTGGGATGTTGGTCCTGTCCTCCAGAATTTGGGAAAGCAAAAGCCTCTTTGTCCCTGTGATATTCTTGCTCATCTTGGCAGAGTCAAGACCAGAAGCCAGAGTTCTTCACTCCAACTTCTGTTCCCCACAAGATGCTGTCCTCCTTTTTGTGGCCCTCCATAAGAGTGTGCCATTTTAAAATGGGCTTTTCCATCAGAAACTCTGATTTTGTTTTAAGCGTCTATAAATTTCTTAACCATTTAACAGTCAACAGTGTGGATTTTTTCATTTCTTCTTACTGGGGTCCACCCATAGATTCTAGAGTCTTGGAGTCTGCATTTAAGTTCCTTGGGCACCTCCCTCCCAGCATTGCAAAGCTAGTAGAGGTTTCGTAGCCTCGGGGCATAGTTGGGTGAGCAGCTGCTTTAGTCTTAATCTAACTTCATAACATTCCAGAATGTTCCATGATGTTCTAAGAACATCAGTTATTAAATCAAAATACAAATACCAGTCACCAAGAAACTAATGTCTCTTAACACAGTGAGTTGTCTAAAGGCATTAGTCTGAGAATGAGGGCCTAAGCCAAACACTCATCTCTTGAGCTTCATGAACTCTTTTCAAGTCTTTCACTAAGTTGTTTATCTGCATGATGGTGAGTTCATTTCTCTTTATTTTCATTGATAACCTAGTGTATTTGGCAGACTAAATCAGGTGCTATTGGGGGCAGCTAGGTGGCACAGTGAATAGAGCTCTAACCTTGAAGTCAGGAGGACCTGAGTTCAAATCAGCCTCAGACACTTAACACTCACTAGCTCTGTGACCCTGGGCAAGCCACTTAACCCCAATTGCCTCACAAAAAATAAAAAATTAAAAAAAAATAATAATAATAAATCAGATGCTATCCCTAGTGGCTCATCACATCTAACAGAACATAGAAAATGTGGAAAGTTAGGAGTAACTTGCTAGGCACAGCAATAATACAAACTCTTGGTGGAGCTGTGAATTGGTCTAACTACTCTGGAAAATTAGAATTATGCCAGAAATCACACTAAACTGTTCATGCCCTTTGACCCAGTGAGCCTACTGAAGGACATATCCTTAGCGTCAGAAAGAACACATGCCATAACAATCATGGCAGTATTTTTTCTGTAGCCCCCAAAAAATGGAAACTGGATTTTCATAAACTGAGGAACAGTTGGATAAACTGTAGTATTAGGATGTGGTGTAATACTATTATACCACAAGATGTGACAAATGTGGAGAATCAAGGCACACGATGAAAGAATTATCAACTCATACAAAGCACAGAATGCAGAGCCAGAATAACATAGCTGACTTCAGAAATAGAAATGAAAACAACATTGAAAGGCAGCAGAACTCAGCTTAAAGGTAATGACTGCTCATGGCCCTGGAGAAGAAATGGTGACCCACCACCTTGGTAGAAAGAGGGGGAACTCTGGTATGACGTCAGAAATGATTGCTGTCTTGGTCAGTTTTGCTTAATTTGGGGTTGTTGATATCAGGGATGGATGTGAGTTAGTGGGGCATATAGGGAAATGACAGTCATAAAAAAACAGAATCTACTGCATAAATAATTTACTGAGGGCAAGGAAAAGAAGGCAGACTTTTTTTTTCTGAGTTTTATAGATTCCCAGCCCCTTTTTTTTACATACTCCTCAGAGATCTTTTCTGAAAAGAAGGTTCTAGAAAAGCAAAACAAGTTAGAAAGAGTCAGGTACTTCATGCCTTTCATAGGGTACGAATGAGTTTCTGCTAAAGAGAAATGACAGTCACTTAGGCCGTTAGTTTTGGGAGAAGTTAAGAGGTGGTGGTTTGTGATGGTGACCCACTTTTTCTGGAAGGCTCACTAAGTTAGTGATTGGTTAGATGCTTCTGTTTCTTCCTGATTGATGTTATTGTTACTAAATATTGAGACTATTACGTCTTGTCCCAGCTCTATTTTAGAGAAGGCCTTGAATAGTCTGAGGAAGAAACAGCTCACTAAGCTAGACTGATTCCTAGGGTCGTTCTTGGAGTGTTTACTGGTGTTTGGGGAATGGGCTTTTAGGCTTAGCAGTGGTTTCATGTTCTTGTTTCAAGGACTCATCAAAATCATTTTTAGGATCGATACAACAGTATTGTTTTCACTCCTTCCAGACATGCTTGATTGGCCAGCCTGAAGAAGCCTGTTCTACATCTCTATGGTTTTAGTAATAATAACAATTCCCTTTTTTCCTCTTCCAAACTAATAGCCTGGTGGGAACCAGGTTCTAAACAGGGGCTTGTAACCGTTTTTGTTATGGACCCCTTCTCAAAATGTTTTTGAATGCTTAAAATAAAATACATGAGAAACCAAATTATTGAAATAGTTACCAAAATCTTTTTAAAAACAAGTTCACGCATGCCAGGTTAAGAACCTCTGGTTCTAGCCCCACTGCCTGCACTGAGCAACAGACAGAGCCTGCCAGACCCACTGGCCCTAAAGACTGATTCAGCAGCCATTCTGGGTGTGTGTACCAGGTGGTGAAAAGAAGCCAAGGCAGTGTGGTGTTTTGTCTTTTTAGGTAGCCAATTTGTCACCTGCTCAGATTACTTATTGGTTTTGTATCCACATCTGTCACCACTCCAGCACTTTAACAGTGGTGTTAGGCCAAGTACAGACTGGCCTGGAGAGATTGGGTCAGTGAGGCAGATGCTAATGTAATATTATCCTTTGACTAAATACAAATAAACATTCACTAAGGATATGGAAACAAACAGTAAGTCAACACATAGAGAGACAAGACAGGTGCAGCATTCTGCACCCTGCCTGCCCACGGGATACATCTAGGTCAATAACAAGGGGAACGGACAGCCTGTCAGATACAAAGTTAAACACCTCTTTCTAACAATTCACCAAAAAAGTGGGCCTTCATGCATGTTAGCCTGTGCTCATTCTGGACTTCCATGACTAAGCACCGTGCATGCTAAGTTCTAAATCTCTAGAGCCCTGCACCCTAGTCAACCCCATTAACACTCAAGCCCTGGACAGAATTGTCTACCTGGGTTGACTGAGGTTGAATGGATCTTGGAAACTTAACTTCCCACTTCTCCAGTGTTCACATTTTCTCTCCCAAGTATAACATTGAGTTAGTAATGGCATTTAGCAAACTAAATAGTTACTGGACTTGTTTCCATCTAGATAAGCTTTCCTGGCTAGAGGCCACCTCTAGCTGGGGAGCTCTATTTCCCAAAGGGTCCATCTCATGACGAAGACCAGCTGCTTGAGTAACACAGAACTGGAGGACCACATCCTGTGATAGGTCCCTTCAGTGAGAGCACAGCCATTCGCCACGTACGCCATGTTCGTTCCTACCCGGTGTTTTTTGCTAATGCTGTCCACTTTTCATGCCTGAAATGTGATGCCTCCTAGCCCCCCAGTCAGATCCTTTACAGACTGCCCAAATGCCTCTTTCCTGAAGCCTCACTAGCATAGCCAACAATGCTCTTTGCCCTCTGTGAATTCTTACAGCCCTCTGTATTCACTAGGGAACACTGACTCCTAGATGGGAAGTCTTAGGTGCACAGAGGAAGCCATGGCCCCCTAGAGGAGTAATGGGTCTTCTACCTCCTCTCATGTACCTAACAGTGCTGGGCATATACTCCAGCATTCAGTGAGTAGTTATTGACTTCTTCCTTCTCTTAAACAGATCCAAAGTCTGTAAGGTGGAACTCTTCAACATGTTCCTGAATCTGGTGAGCAGTATTTCTGAGAACAAGCGACCTGAATCTCTCAGGTAACCAACCCCATGTCGCTGTGAAAAGACTCTATTTTGTCGGGCTGTTAGTACTCCAGTTTTTTTTCTAGGAGGATGAGTGCCTGAGAGCTTCCTGCAGAGATGATTGTCCCAACCTCCTTTACAGACAGGCAGTTTTTTTGACCGCTTTATTCCTCCATGTCCTTCTTAGAAGATATTTCATGTGGCTGACGGGAGGGCTGGTTCTAAGACTCTGTTTGCAATGAGTTGCAAACAGAGCCAGGATTAGAATTTTGGCTAAGATTGTTGTTAATTAGCTTTTACTGAACCTTAGTCAAAATGACAGTGGAAATAAATTTTCAGAGCAGCCATAGTCCTCTGGTGTCTTAAATTTTCTGTTAGGAACTCCCTCACTCCGTTTTTTTTTCCCATCAGTGACTTGCTTTCTCACAGGAATTAAGTGGCTTGTGGAGAGCAGAAGCACAGAGAACCTTACATACCTGCTAAGTCAGGCCAACAGCAAAGATGAACTGTCACTGAAAAGGGTGTTGTCTAAAGAGATAGAGCTGCTCTGCATTCGGAATGTCCAGGTTGCCAGCAGCTTGTGTCAGGTGCCACTGTGTTCTTGGTACAGGAGAACGGACTACATCAAAGCTGGGTTTGTTTTAATACACACCCACTTGCACCAACCCACTGGAGACACTGCTTTCCAGCCCGAGTTATGGTCTGTGTGCCTTGGCTGGCAAAGTATGGTGGGGGTTAATAGAATTACTGAGTTATATGCTTAGTTACCAGAAAAAGGTTTCTGCTGTTGGAAGTGTCTCAGCAAATCACTAGGTAGGAAGCAAGGGGGTGAATTTAGGACAGATAAAGAACATTAATAAACAGTTATAACATGTTATAGCTAGAAGTTTTGGTTTAGATGATTTCCAAACTCCTCATCTTACACCTGAGGAAACTCTAGTCCAGGGAGACACTCCCTAAGTGGGTGAGATGTTCAGGCACTGAGAAAAACTGCAAACCATTTAACCGTAGCTGAGCATCCTAAATGTGCCTCCAAGTGACAGCCCTTCTGCAGAAATTGGTGTCCAAAAAGAGAGTGGAGAGCAGTCGGAAGCCCTTGGGAGGGCTGATTGTGTCTGATAAAGGCCCTGATGCCTGTCCTCTGCCAGCAGTGCACAAACAAGGTGGCTGGGAGAGCCGGGGGCTGTGTCACCTGGGCAAGATCATAAATCATAGTGAGAAAACCTGGCCAAGTCAGTGCAGCTATCTGTATTTATTTTACTCCAGAAGAATCTGTCATTATGGTAGTAATTAGCATTGTTACTGTAAAGTGCTCCTCGGGAAATTCCCTTTACCAATCTGTTAAGAGTTGCTGTCTTGGTCCAGTTGTTTTAGGCTGAAATAGTGTGTTGATATCCAGGTAGAACTTTTACATGTGGATGTGTGTTGGCATTAGGGTCAAGAAACTGGAAACATACTGGGAATACAAGGAGGCAGCAGCTAGCTATCAAGAGGCCTGGAAGACACTTCGGAAGCAGGCATTTGGCTCCTGGATCAGAAATTCCCCAGATTACCAGCAGTTTAAATGAGAAGACCAAATCTGACAAACCCACTAGAGACAGGAGGCTTTCCAACCTGTGTCCCGCTCATTCATATCGGACAAATCTCAGCTTTTCTGTTAGGTAAGCAAAAGCAAAGCTTTTGCCAAAGGATCTTAAAATGTTTAGACTATGCAGATGTTCATTCTGGAACACAGAGCCAATTAGGACTGATTGGAATTAAGCTCTGTAGTAAAATGACATCTTGATAAGATGTGATGTGTTTTTTCAAATGACTGTCTGGCATCTGTCACATGTTGTGATGGGGTCTTAGACACTATCCCTCCCCCAAAAAAAAATTTAAATAAACGTGTTCAAGAGATCTGGGGCTTCCATCTGTTTAATCAGATTCTAGTGAGGCTTGTTTTTGTGCAGAGTGAAATGAAGCTCATCAGGGAGTTGGAGCCCTGCCTTAGAAAGGAAATACTCCTCCCTTCAGGCAAGCAGACTACACCAAAGTAATCGGAAGCATAAACAACATGCCTCCCAACCAGAAGAAAGTGTACTTCCAGCATTTACAAAGAGGGGATGACTACTTCCAATTTTAAAATGACCATTTCCAAAAAGATAATCTTTCAACTTGTCCTGGTGCCTAGGGAATTGGACCCCTAAAGGTATAAAAAAATTAAGGCAGTCTTAGATAGCTTTACTTACAATCCCACTAAATTAGCCTGTGGAGGAGGTCAGTTTAATGTTGCTTCAGCTCTTGGTGTTCTATACTCCATTAGTGGATTCTAATCCTACTCCTAGGAAAGAGCAAATGCAATGTTTCAAAGTTCTTCTCTGGCTTAAATAGTTAGCATTATATTTTAATGTATTCTTTGTATGGCCATGGGGCATAAATTATAACAGGAATTGTGGATAACTAACTATATTAAGTGCTTCATTTTGTAGTAGCAGTGCCAAGCATTAGCTAATAGTCTGGGTGAGAGAGGTTCATGTCAGGGAAAATGATCAATCCCTGGCACAGACTGCCCTGGCACTGCCTGATTTTGTAATGTCTGTTTCTATGGAAATCTGCCTCTTCTCAGGCCCTACGACCAGTTTGTGGTTGAAAAACAGTGGGCTGAACAAATCTTAGCCAAAGTTTTCTAGTCGTTACACCAATTTCCTCTTTGACTCTGGCAAGACAACTTGAAACAATATGGATATTTCGACAGTTATTGCCATCTTGTGCCCCTTCTGAAATAGAGCTGTTCCTTTTCCAGAAAGGAAATACATGGTCATTAAATGGAAGGAAAACGCCCTACACTCCCACACTGAGGTGAAGTAACTCAACCCTGAGGTTCATAAAACTCTGTATATCAGAAGCCCCCAATGGGAGCCTTCTGAGGAAGGTTGGAACAGAGACTTGGAAGCCTGAGACAATTGTGATAGTGAGTCTTAAGTACCAATCAATTCCATATAACCTACAAAGAGAAATCCATCAGACTAGGTACATTCTGAATTTTCTCTTAAAAAGCAGAAGTACACAATTTGGAAAGGGGGGGGGATTTCAGATTTCTTAGCTTTCATCTGAAAGATGGTATGCTTTCTTCAGAGTTCCCCCTTTATCTCCTAGAATAGGGTTGGGGAATCTGTGGCCTCAAGAGGCCTGTCCTAGACTCTACATTCTTTTTTTGGTTATCTTACTAGCTTCCACAGGTTGACCTGTCATCTCCATATGTGACTCATTATGTCCAAAACATCTCATCTTTTCCCTAAAACCCACCCATCCTCCAAACTTGCCATTTCTATTGAGGATAGCAGTCACTCATTTTCAGTTCTCCACTCTCCCTTAAACCCCTGTTTATCTAATTGCAAAGTCTCGTCACCTCCACAATGTCATTCCTTTCTGCTGCCAGGGAAACTACCCTCATTCAGGTCTACCTCAGCTCTTCCTGAATTAGATTACCTCACAATTGATTTCCCTGTATCCACTCTCTCCTCCATCACCCATTCTCCATAGCACTGCCAAATGGATATTCCACAGTTCTGACCATGTTATTCTCTGGCTCAGGCTTCAGTGAATAAAATATAAACTCCTGACATTTAAAAACCCATTGCAGTCTGGCTCCAGCCCATTTTTCCAGGCTAATTACACATTCATTTCCCTCATGCACTCTATACCCCAACAAAACTGACTTACTGGCTGTTCCTTTCATCGTTTTCCCATACCATCAGTGCTTTCCCTCTTCACCTCCATCTCTTGGACCTCACAGCCCAGGCCAAGTGCTACCTACTTCACAAAACCTTTCTTGATTTCCCAGGTTCTTAAGTGTCCCATGTCCCATCCCAGCCCTGCCAAAATCACTATGTTGTATATCACTTATATTTACTTATCTATGAACTTGTATCTCTTATATAAGATTATATAAGGGACTGTCTTGCCTTGTGTCCACAGGCACAGTGCTTGATATACAGTAGGCACGTGATAAACGCCTCTAGATTGGCTTAGTTCTATAAAAAGAAACTTCCTCCAAGAAAACACATCTATGGACACTAGGAATTGTTCTCCTGTTTTGGGACAATTTAGGTGGCACACTCCCATTTTCTTAATGTGCTGAGTATCAGCTCAGGAGTAAAAAAAAAAATCTCACACACACACAGAGCTACTTTTCAGTCTCTGAAATGCAGGAAAGTGGCTTGGCACATTGGTGAGCTTTCCAGTTGAGGGAATCCACAGCCAGAAAGCTACTCCAGCTTGGGACACTAGCTGCCAAGTTTGGGCCTCAAGCACATGTCTCTGAACTGGCTCTCAAAAAGAGGAGAGCACCAGTGGAAACAGTGATGGTACGTTTGCTATAGCAGCCCAAAGACAGCATAGAAAAAGGGAAAGCTTACTGAAATTCACAGTACTGCTTTGGAGAGAGGAGCAAAGATCCACTGTGTCAGAAACTGACCTAGAGAACAGGACAGGATAACTAACACTTGTCATTCCCAACCTTCCAACTCCATCCAACAAAAAAGGACTCTATTACACATCCGCTTCGGACAGGAAGCAGAAGTGCTGACGTGGGCGCCAAATATGCCCATGTAAACAGGCTCAATCTCTAGGAAACTAGAGTTTTATTAAACTGGGCAATAGAGGATGGGAGTGTGGCCTCACACATGTCTCATTTTCTTGGAATGACTGTTAACTGGGCAAACATGTTTCCTATCTTCTTAACAACTTTTGGCTCTTGCCATAAAAATATTTGCAGTCCCATCTGCAGTTTTTCAGACCTCTGGCCTCTGCAAGTCGGTGCCTTTCTACACCTTGTACTACTCTCCTTTCGCGTTTTCTTTACATCCCCCACCTGACTCCATCCTTCTCTTGTTGATCCCCTTCATCTCCTGGTTATATGCCTTCAAGCCATAAACAACAGAGCAGAGGGAAGCACCAGGCCTGCTGGGTGATGGGCATTCCTTAGGGCAATGCCAGGCCTCCAAGCCTGAATTCCCGCTGATTCCAAGCTGCTGCGGCTCCCGCTCACCATGCACTGCTCTCTCTCAAGTGCCAACAGCAGAGTCTGTCGTTTACCCTCTCTAAGTCCCATGATTTTAGAAAAAGGGATTTTAATTTTTTTTAAAGGTAAGTTGGGATTATTGCTTTTTAAATTCACGTGCTCGAGACGTTTTGATGTCAGAAATATAGGAACAACCAACCCCTTGGAATTTAAGAATCCTCGTCTTAACTTGCTGGCCCAGGTTTCTAGAGCTATGGTTACTGGGTGTGATAGCCTGGTTCTGTGTTCAAAAGAAGGCAGAGTTCTAGATCCAAGGTGTATACATAGGCCCCATCCTCCCACTCCCCTCAACAACAGCCTGGCCTGGGAGTTTTTTCCCTCCCTTAGGAAACAAAGATGTGAGGGAAAATTTGCTGAAGGAGGTCACAGTCTCTTAGATCATCATCTGCCTTTCAGTCCTACTGTGGCTGGCTTTCCCATTCGCTATTAGCTCCATCTTCTGATCTTACCTTGAATGCTGTCAGCGTCCTCCATAGCTATGGTCTGTTGTGGAAGCTGCTGTTAAATTACAACCAAAATGATGTAGCTTTTAAGTTACATTCAAGGTCCCCATTAGATGCCAGAAAAGAATCCCAAGGGTGGTAGTATGATTTAAAAGGAAAACCACAAACTCGAAGTCATGCAAGACCTAGGTTCAAGTCCAACATCATGCTGGAGGCAAGTGACTTCAATTTAATAGACATTTCTTAAGTACTATTTGCAAGACACTGAGGATAGAAAGGCCAAAACAAATCTGCCTTTGAGGAATTTATGGAGTTGGGGGATGGGAGAAGGGTGATCCTTTGGTTGATACATTGATAAGTCTACCTTCAGAGCCTGTTTTAACAAAAATCTGTAAAATTGAAAGTGAGATAATATAGGCCAGGTGCCTTATCAACCTTGAAGCACCATTAATGTCAGTTATTATTAGTATATTTTAAAAGACGGGACATTTACAGATAAGTCTACTTTTATTGGTTTCATTTGTACTTCAAGAGGTAAAGCTATTTAAACTGAATTTGGCTTAGTGTCTAGAGAAGCTTGGGTTCAATCGCCCTTTTATTTCCCAGGAGGGGAAAATGAAGGTAAATCAGAACTCTTACCTACAGCAGCAACCAACCAGTCATGACTTCAAGAAGTCTGAGGATAAAATATACCTTTCACCCCCTGGCAGAGGGGGGGAGGGAGCAGTTCCTAACCTTTTTGTCCTGGACCCCTTCTCAGAATCATGTTGTTAAATGCATGAAATACATACTGTGTATGATGACAAAAGAAACCAAAATTTCTGAGACCCAAGGTTAAGAACAAACCCCTGCACTACAGGTACAGGACCAAATATGCATTCATTCTTACACATGGCTAATGTACTGACTTCTTTTATCAAACTACACATACTTGTTACTGGGGAGCTCTTCTGCTGAGGCAGGGAGAGAAGGTTGGTACATAGTAAGACATGGGAAAAAAATAAAAGTTATAATGATTTATTCACTGAAATTAATTTAACTAGAAATGGTTACTAAGCAGGTTTACGTAGTTAAAAATTGACTTTCAATTATCACAGAACATTTCCTTTTAACCAAAGAAAACAAAGATTGGTCACATGAGAAAAGCAAAGTAAATGGCATAGCCGATGACTGCAGATATCGAAGCTTCCCTCTGTAGACTTACTGTTAAGTTCTTTTTTAGAAAACCGTGTTCACAAGTGCTTCCATATACACCAGCTATATTCATCCTCACACAAATCTTCCCATTTTACAGATGCGCAAACTGACTCAGGTTAAATCATTTGCCCAGTGTCACAGCTAAAAAGAGGTAGGGCCAGGTCTTCTGACTCAGTTCAGTTCTGTGCTGTTTCT